TGGGTAATGAAGAAAAACTTTAATATAAGTTTAACATAACAGCACATGATGATGACAAAACCTTGTAGAAACGTTCGAAACTTTTTTTTTTTTTGTAATATGAATTGATCCAAAGAAACCTATGGTTTTAACCACTTTAAATGATAGAAAACATAAGCTTGAAACATAGTTTTTCACCCATAAGTTTTTTAACTCATATTAAAAGAAGAATTTAGCTAGTAGCGATCGGTCAGTGATATTACATCGATAACAAACTCTGACTATCTGTAAGTTACTTGTATCATAATAAGAACAATTAAATATATATATATATATATATATATAAGAGAGTCACCAACTGCCTGAAGAAATTATCAGAAACCTGTCCTTGGACCCCGTTGTTCATCGTAACATATTTTAGAGTGTTGTATACATGTAATGGTTATTCCAAGCATCGCTCTGAGCTCTAAAAGATTCAGGTTGTGCCACATAGTATAATTAAGAATAATTAGGAGAGAACGAAAACAACTTTAGGTCACGCAATTTTACGTCTAGTCACACCAAACCCTCGAGACAAAGGTAAAAGAAACCTATTGGCTCATGCTTGCTACTGCCAGGAGTCGAGTAATGAGAAATGAAAACATCTCGAACGTAAACAAACACAGGTATTGCGTAACATACTAATGAACTGTACTACGAACAAAGACAATTGACAAAAGCTAGCACAGAAGAAACATTAATTGCATTAAGCAGTACGAACATCATGCTCTGTCTTCACTACAAATAAGTAAAATAATCTAACGATGGTCTTAATTTTCCCAATTTACTTGTCAGTCTATGCAGACGGTTTAATACGTTATATTAAAACGACTTAGGAAGTGCACCATGTCATTACAGTTCGTTCTGACACGTCCAGTCAAGTTCTATCTCATGACCGTGCATCTTGACAATAATCCTGCAGTGTCGTTTCCATTGCTAAAGGCTCCACCGTAAGGCTGTCATGTCCAAAGCATTACTTCTTATGGTATAACAAGAACATCCATTTCATTCTCTAACTGATTGAGATATGCAAAGGTTAAATAGGAAGTGTGACTGGAAGCCTTATCTAGGTGAACCTAAACCCTTTTGGCCTCACTTTCAAATTATGTTAGTGAACCCAAATCCTGTTGGCCTCACTTCTAGATTATCTAGGTGAACCTAAACCCTGTTGGCCTCACTTTCAAATTATGTTAGTGAACCCAAATCC